ATGGATTTGCATGTGAATCATTTTAATGGTCTAGCACTGGGTTTACGTCATATTCCTGGATCAACCTGAAACAGGCTTCTGTACTACTGAGAACTCTCCCGAGTTAAAAAACTAATTTCCAAATATGACTGAACATTTTGCAAGACATTAGACGATCTGCAGTGTACCATCTGGAAGCCACATGAAATGCACGTTCTCCTTCGAGACCTGCGGTGAACAGACTGCCCCCAGTGGCCCTGTCCCCACAATAGTTCCACCATCTTCATTTCAGGTGGAGGCATCCTTTTATTCTCAAGGGACTGTTACACCACCCCCCTCTTTTTCTTTTTCTTTGGTCTGTTTTATTTCAGTAGTCTTACAATGGACAGGCATGGGCGTCCCTTCTAAACACCACAGGTAGCATTTTCTCTAAAGTCCAAGTCAAGACACAGAGAAGTTCCAGACGACAACAAGACATTCCCTTTTCTGGAACATGGACTAAAGAATTTCTCTGTAAATCCCTTCAGGAAGACTGGCACCGAGCATCATCAGCTTTGGGAAGTTTTAAGGGCACAGGCTGCTCTCCTTGCTTCCCAAATCCCCAAGCCATGCAGGTCTGGCAGACGGGAAACCTGAGGGTGTGCAGAGGTCAAGCTGGAAACCCGTCGAGAACAGGCTTGGTCTTGACCAGAGAGGTAGGAGTGTGGCGGAGTATTCCAAATTAATTCTGACTCACCGGGAAACTGATTTTTCCAGCTGGGGAAGAATCTAAAGAATAGATCGAGAGAGAAGAGTGGAGGGAGGGAGGAACACCCAGCTCATGGCAGGAGCTCAGGACTCGCTGGGGGAGCAGTCTGACTGGTCTTGCTGAAGCACCTTCCTCGTGGGTGACCACCTTCACGTCAGTCTTCAAGGTGCTGCCTTGCACGGATCTGAGAAAGGGATAAACACTTACACCTAACGTCAAAATCTGAGGACTTTCATCTTCAACCCCTCATGTGCAAATCTCATACCGCTGCTTTCTGGGCCTGGGACAACAGAAGTAAAACTCGGCCGCTGAATTCAGAGGAAATCGGGGCTCACCTTTCCTGTCCCCCCCCCCCCCCCCGGCGGTGAAGCTAAGACAGAACTGACTGCAGGAGTCTGCACTTGACGGGCCATTCCCCTAAGGACCTGGCGCCTTCGTTTCACGTAGACATCTGCTTCCTCTTGTCAGCCCACAGTGGGGTCCAGGGGAGGATGGGTCCCAAGGGCTGGAGTTCCTGAGCACTGCTTGCTCTCTTCCGAACTTTTGAAGATTGGGCCCCAGAGTAGTGACAGAGGTGTTCGGAGGATAAGGACGGGATCCCGCATGACGAGTCTGTTTGCACACACAGTGGCCCAGACCGGCAGAGATCTGGGTAGAGACAAGGGTGAAATAAGACTGTGTTTTGGAAACTGTGGTAAGAAGGAGGCAATGAGTCAGTACTTACTCTCCCCAGAAAAATAGATTGCTCACTGGGGAGGCTGTGGGGCAAAGCCTGTACTTGTACCTGGAGGTGGGGGTGAAGGGCAGATCGGCACATGGGAGTCTGGAGGGAGAGGAGCTGGGGGACAGAATGAATGAATAAAAGATGGGAAAACACATTGGGGAAGCAGTCCTGAAAGCAGGTCCCCGGGGCGGGAGGAACCGTCAAATCAGAAGCAGAACTCCTGCGCCGAGCTGATAGTGAAGGGAGATTTGCAGATGGTGTGGGAAACCCAGAGACATTTATTTGGTTGTGTGCATGCTTCTCATTTCCATTTCTTCTTCATTCGATACGTGTGAAGTAAATGTGGTTTCAAGCAGTGTAGCCTTGGTGACTTAGGACTATACTTAATGTCCCAGTTTAGGGTTGACCAAACATAGCATACCTGGAAACAGTCCTTTATTTATCAGTAGCTGAAATAGAAGCTGAGTCACAGAAGGGACGCAAACATATCTGGAGCCTGTCTCAGACCTCCCGGTCCCCCGGGGTGTTAATGAACTGTGCCTTTGCTTGCTTAGGCCTGGAGGTCTCCTCTCTGATGATAGGCATCCACTTGGCTCAGGGACGATCCCCCAGACTGGTCCTTCTCTAGTTATCTTACCAGATGTCACTGGCTGTAGGTATATGGAGGACTGACTTTCAGAGTTGAGCTATAAGGCATTGCATCAACTAAAATGTCAACCATTCCACTCATGGCTCTAGACATTGGCGATTGAATAGGGCTAGTTTGAAACCCCAGATTTGCTTAAATTGCATTTCATCTGTGCTTGAAAGGACTGCATCTGCTTTGGAAAAAGACACATGACCTTTTCCCACCTGGTAGTAAACAACTACCATCACTATCCTCTCTACTTCCGGGCCCTAGCCCAGGTAGGGGAGGAAATAGGCTGGGGTGGGGAGTATCACTGTCTCAGTGACTCAGAGACCATTAAAAACAGAGACAGACTTAGATCTGTAAGTAACGGCAGGTCATCCCCTGTTCTCCACAGTCTTTCTATCACCGACAGGACTCAGATGCCCCAGTGATGGGCGTGCCTACATCAGGGAATATCAAGATGATCCCTTGGGTGCAAGAAGAAAATACTAGAGTCTATTATATTTATTTCTCACCCTTTCAAATGTTCTATTCTTGTATATATAATATACTATATTGGTAAATGTGTTTTATCTATCTATCTATCTATCTATCTATCTATCTATCTATCTATCTATCATCTATCATCTATCTATCTATCCATCTATCTGTCTTCCTATCATCTATTTCATTTCATCTATCTATCTAGCCTTCTATCAGGAGGTACACTGAGTAGCATTTTTGGAACTACAAATTTCCGAGAGATTTCATTTCAGTCATTTTCAGGGGAGACCTAGGAAACCATCGTTAAGTGAGTCGTTTATTTTCATTGAGCAAACTTCTCAAAGGTAACCTCACACAGAATCCTAACACGTGACACAGGTGAAGGTGGGCTGCTCTTCTGAAGGCGGGCTGGAGGCGGGGTGGGGATGGTCCAGCCCCACGCTTTCCCTTCCATTGGCTCTCCCTGCTGCTGTCCCCGGTCTACGTCACCTCCCATTTGGGAACCACCATGGTAGCTTATGAAACATACATCTTTGAAGATGAACTGGCTTCTGTCTGAAACCAGACTGACAGGACACAGCCCCGTTCTCAGGTTTGATCTTGTAGAGATTTCCCACTAGTTGGATCCATGCCAGTCTTGTCTTTATACAAAGTGCTAAACACCCACTTGCAGCCCAGGCGGAGAAGGGACTGACACCCCTCCCTCCTCAGAAGAGAAGCCTCCTTTCCCAGGCCATTTCCGCCTTCCCATTGCTGCTCGTGCTCCAGCAGTGACTTCCCAGCTGGACGGTCAGTACTGTGTATCCCTGAGCACCCTGCTCATTGCAGAGTATGACCAGATCTCTGCTGCAAGCACCTCTGATCTTACTTCAGGCTTGCAATTTGAGATTTTTCTTTTCTTTCCTTTATTTATTTTTTAAATCCTCACCAGAGGATATTTTCCCATTTATCTTCTGATAGAGTGGGAGGGAGAGAGAGGGAGAAAGAGAGAAACATTGATGTGAGAGGGACACATTGACTGGTTGCTTTCTACACAACCCTGACCAGGGCCGAGGATGAACCTCAACCAAGATACGTGCCCTTGGCTGGAATCAAACCCGGGACCCATTGGTCATTGGGCCAACGCTCTACCACTGAGCCAAACAGGCCAGGGCTAGAGATTTTTCTTAAACTAAATGCAATTCCATATTCTGGGCACACCTCACCCTTTAATTCATGCAGAAAATTATGGTCATAATTTTCTTTCCAATCTTGCTAGCTCAGAGATGGCTAATTTCCCAAGGACACTTCACCCTGTCATTTATGAAGTTGTTATCTTTGTGAATTACCTTGAGGGGCAAATCTCTTTCTAGAATTAGGGGAGGAGGTGGGGTGTGTCAGATAGAAATACACCACTCCAATCAACCTTCAAGAAAGGACTCCCTGCCCAGCTACTTGGAGGGTAGCTAACTGACTTCCACCTCAAGAGCAACTCTTGAGCCAAAGTCACAACAGAGGAAGAGTATTCTGGACTCTACTCTCGCTGGAAAATAAGCGCACAGGCCATGGTGACATTGGCTGGTCTAATAGGAGAGGAGAACGGAGAATAGCAAGGACTAAACATGTCTATCACAGCGGCCTCCCAGAGCACCAGGAAATTTCATTAGTTATTGTTAAGGTAAACCTCAAAAGTTCTTTTACAGTATTAATTTATTAATACCCATTGTCACCCAGGAGCGTATTAGTCATGAATGAGTTTGTCAGTTTTGGTTTTGTTACTGATACTTTGAAGGAATGGACAGCAATGGGGGAAATACACTTGAAGATTCCTTCTTTTTTTTCTTTACTGATTTTAGAGAGAGGAAGGGAGAGGGAGAGAGAGAGAGAGAAACATTGATGAGAGAGAACATCAATTGGCCGCCTCCTGTATGCCCCTGCACTGGGGATCGGGCCCACAACCTGGGCATGTTCCCTGACTGGGAATTGAACCAGTGACCTCTTGGTCCTGGGGTGGATGCTCAACCACTGAGCCACACTGGCTGGGCAAAGAAGATCCCTTCTTAATAAAAAGCAGCCCAGGGACTTGCCCGGGCAGGACAGAGCTGTGTGGGAGACTCTCGGGAGGCCCCAGCCCTGGAGCTGGGTGGTAGTTGAGGGCAGTGAGTGTCTGAGGGAGAAGACCTTCTAAGGGAAGAAGGGCACAGAAAGACGGTAGAGGCGACCCATGACCAACGTCCTTGAATTCACCACTTTGTCCCAACTGCCCAGGTGAGCAAAGCATCTTTCAAATGTCTGTGGGTGTCATTTGAATGACATCAAGTCTTATCAAACCTTTGATCTTATGTTTGTCTCCAGTCTGCTGCCCTCCCTTCTCACCAACACCCCCCCACACACACACGCTTTGAAAATGGCAAGTTGCTGGCCCGGACTATTTGGTTTCCTGCCACACTTCGGTGTCTGCTGTGCTGTGCAGACCGGCAGGGCAGAGATGCCTTCTCGGGGAAGGAAGTCGGGCTTGGTTTGAGCACAAATTGACTTATTAGATCCTTGTCCTTTTCTAGGCTACTGCTTCTGGTGGCCTGGCACACGTGGACTGAGGTAACTGGCACAGGTGGGAGCTTTGCTAGCATTGTGGAGCTGAGTGTTTACCCAAGTGCGGTAAGCCCTCTGGGTCTGTGGGATGGACTTAGACCTCCCCCTTTGAGTTCTTCCACCTTTTCCCTCTGAGCTGAAAGTATCAGTGAAGAGCCACTTCTGGCCCCCACGGATACGGGGTGTTTACTCTCGAACTGAGGTGTTACAAAGGGGGGTCAGATTAGAGCACAATGAAGTCGAAGGGGCTGGCCAATTTACTCTAGTAGATTTTTTCTTCAGAAATAGGCTGACAGACGTGTGGCTTTCTGGCCCCCGCTGCATGGCTTTGGAGTCAGACTGCTGGGGTTCAGAGGCTGATTTCACCACTTCCTAACTGTGTGGCTGTAGGCGGGTTATTTCATCTTTCTGAACCCCAGTTCCTTTAACTTGAAAAGAAGGACACTTCCATCGACTTCCGTATTGAAGCCCATGGAGAGAACTCAATGACTCTGGGCTGTTATTGTTTTTTTGTGCTCTAAACAGATTTTGGGAGAGAGGTCTGATAGCTGGACGTCTATGACTAGTACTGTCATTGTCAATAGCAATACCACACCGTCCAATGCGATGTACCGACATGTACATGGGCTTCCCTGTCCACACTTGGGGCTGATGGTGCCATTCTTTCCCCCCTGGAATAGGAGATGTGACGCATGAAGTAAGAAATGCCCTGCAAACAGATGAACGCTACGGAGCCAGGAGATACTGCCCATGCTGTGCAGCGTCAGAGCAGCAGCAGCCGTAGTGGAAGGAGAGTGTCATTGCTCCTCCTGTTGCAACTTGTGTGGATCCTGCCTCTGCCTATGACTGTGAGTGAGGAGCCGGATTTTGTTGGGGTGGTCGGGCTAGTTTTTAGGGCACTGCCTTGAACAGAACATTGCTTGTCGATGGCCAACACTTCGATCATGCAGACAGGGGTGCTCCCATCAGGAGTTGTCAGTCTCTGAGAGGTCGATGGGGTTCAGAGCCTGCTTTCCGGCTCAAGAACCACAGAAGGAGCAAAGCCAGGCCCCACAGTGGCCATGCACGAGACCTGGGCAGTGGGCAGGGCCTCACCCCTCTCCTGTCTGGAGGGTCCCTTCCGGGGTGGGATTACTTGGCTGCCCCTGGGTCATAGATGGTAAGAGGTTTGCATTCATGGAAAAAGGAAGAAAGAAAAAAAGTCACCAGTGCTTTCATTAAACCCAGCATCTTACAGTTCCTCTTTAAGAGGGAAAACTCATTTTCTCCTAAATTGAAAATATTTGGGTCTGGGTGAGTGTGGAGTGGGGAAAGGGGGAGAAATTGCCCTTCTATCTGGAGCCAAGCAGAGATTTGCATATATATAAATGTAAATGTCTGAGTTCTCATTTTAGGGTGAGTTGTTTGGTTCCAAGCAAAATAAATAAATAAATCCCATTTTAGTTAATTTAAGCAAAAATAAATAAATTAAAACCCACACCTAGGGGGAGGGAAGAGATAAAACACAGAACTTATATGCAGGTATACATAACCATGGACATGGACAACAATGCTGGGGACGGGTACAGGGGCGGGATTGGGAGGAGGGAGTCAATGGGGGGAAAAAAGAGAAACATTTGTAACAAAAATAAATTAATAAAACAACAACAAAAACAAAGTAAACTAATATCAATGGTGAAATACTAAATTGCAAATAAATGGAAGACGCAATAACAAAAAAACAAAACAAAAAAATAAAACACACACGTATCATACCACACACATACATATTAGGACACACTGTAGCTCACAGAATAAATAAAAAGCTAGATTCTGGCTCTGAACAGGGCAGGAAACCGGGCAGGAGAAGCCGATGACTCTCATCAGCTAGGAATCCCTGCATCACCTCACTCAGGGTCTCTCCTGCAGAGAGGTCCTTGGCCTTGCTTAGTAACGTGCCAATTACTTGATCAGCAGATGAGGCACCCTCCTCCCGGCTCTGCTGGGAGGGAGGACGGATGCTGAGCAGGCCCTAGAACCATGTCTGCCCAGTCTGTTCATCACTGTCAACCCTGTGATTGTGATCAGTCCCCCAAACTGCCTGGATTTACATTCATCCAAATGGAGTCGACACGTTTCTGTTTCATAGCATCCTTGATGACCCGAGACCATGTAAAACGAGGATTACAGGCTTCTCCCCCAGACAAGTTCTCTGCCTTGTCTCTCCGGCCCCTAGAGGAGAGGTGCTGGGCCTTCCTGAGGAGGTCTGGAGGCTTCTCCCTTTCTCTGCGATAGCTCTGTGCTCTGGATTCTGGAATTTGGGGCCCCAAAGCCCCCAGTTTCCCAGCCTCGTTCTTGCTTAGACAGCAAACTAAAAATAAGTGTCCCCAGGACTGTTCGTGCCGGTGACGACGGTTGCACTGCCACCTCACCGCAAAGACGCTTGCCATTTGGGGGTTTGGAAAAGGGAAACACTTAAGTGCTAGTTTATCAGCCGAAAGGAGCTAGGACAGAAAAAACACAACACCCATGCCACCCACAGGCTTCTGGTCAGAGTATCAGCTTACAGGAGAAAGCTGAGCCGTTGTAAGTTAAACACAGAGGTGTTTCTTTATTTGCACGTCTGCGGGGGAGGGGCGCGCGGTGAGCCCACAGCAGCTGCCCTGTGGACGTTTCTGGGAAAACATTGAAAGAGAACAAAAGTGTTTTTTAAAAAGTGTTAGAACATTTGAAAAATCCGGAGGAGCCAAGAAAAGCCTGCGATGCTGTGCAGTATTAATATTGTGGTTCCCGTCCTGGGTTTTAGATCAGGAAGGAGAGCCCAGGAATCAAAGGGGCTGCCATGAGTCATTTCCAAGCCCCCATTCCCTGTCTTGCTTGGGACTGCCGTCTGAAATAAAGTAAAATGTGATCCATGCAGCTAGGACAAGGACAGGTTTCAATGCATGTCATTCACAGACTTCCTTTACTCGCTTCATATTATAGTGTAAGGCCTTCCCCGTGTTTTAACATTGCGTTGCCAGTATCATTTGAGGGGCTTTGTAATAGCCCATCAGATAGTCCATAGCTCACTGGCGTGGCCCACGGCACCAGACGTGAAGGGTGTGAATAACGCTGTGGCCGGCCCCTCGGTGCACGAGCCAGGGCACCGTCCGTGGAAGAAGGGGCTCCTTGGGTGCGAGGTCTCCACCTGTCGCCTTGATCTCTGTCAAAAAGCAGCTCTTCATTGGACGAGGTTGGAGTATCCAGTGCATAGATTATTCTACTCTCATTTTTCTTCCCTCTTTTTCTTCTTCCATGTTTCTGGGAGACATTGCCTAGATTGTGAGCAAGGATACTGGAATATGGAAAAGAGGCCATACTTTGTTTTAGGTACTTGTTGCTAAGTCACAGAACAGACTTGATGGGAGACTGTGAGAGCCAAGGCGAAGTTTATTCTGGAACACCAATCACACGGGTCTAGGCACTGCTTTAAAACTATACTGAGTTTGTATGGTTTTTCCAACTATGTACATCGTTATGGTAAAACATGCTTTCATTAGGCACGTAGTAACTGTGTGTGACTGTGATAGCAATAACTCTATTTTTAAGACGGAGAAAGGGTTTACAAGCACACATTATTTTTCCCCTAAAAAGATCTAACCTTCCCATCATAAAAGCTCCTGGGGGCCCAGATATTAATATTATTCCTCTTTCCTACTTCACGTATCACCTGGACAGGCACTGTTAGAGTCTCGACTAGAACAACGATGATCAAAACAATAGCAAGAACAAACATTAGTTGAATGCTTTCTGTATGCCATGAGCTAGTCTGAGACTTTGAGTGGATGATTGATACGTTTAATCTTAACAGAGGAAGGATGTCTGCTTCAGATTCAGTTGACCTTTCTGAGGAGGTGCCAGCCACGGGAAGAGTGGCGGTGGACGATTCTGACGTGGGGGGAGGGTGCCAGTGTGGGTGAGCATGACCTGTTTCCCATAGCGAGGGTCAGTGAGAAAACAAGAAAGTGGGATCCAACCCAGCTGGAAGAGTATTTCTGAGAGGTCAAGATCAAATTCACACCTTCAGAAGGTCAAACAACTTCTATTTGGAGACAGATTGCAGGGTGAAGTGGGGTGTACACAGGAAGGCACTGTTGATGTAGTCAGGGCAGTGGGGGGATGGATGGCCTGGACTAAGGGAGACGGACAGAAGCAGATGGACTGAGGATGCATTTTAGAGATAGAATTGCCAGGACTTGCTGGTAAATTGTATAAAGGAGGTAAGATGGGGAATAAGTAAAAGCCAAGTTCTGGGTTTTTTATTTGAGTTCCGAGGTGAGTGGAGTATCATATTCTACCATGTCAAAATCTGGGCGGGGGGGTGTAACTGCGTCATGGGTAGGGAAATGGAAGGTTCTATTCTTACCTTCTCATTTGCCAAAACTGGCACCATGACCAAAAATAAAGAACACAAAACTAGAAGCTTTCACTCTTTAGTCATTTTTGTGTAGTCAAAAAAGGCCAGACAGACCTGAGACTGGGCTCAGACAGACGGAGGACGGCTGTTGTCAGGTTGCATGACGTACCGCCACTTGATGTTCGACTTCCTCATCTCTAAAAGGGAGCTCATGTTGTCTGCCCTGCTCTTGTTGATGGAGTGTACGAACAGCTCCTAGCCAGTCTCCTGCACATGGTAAAATTCCTTTTCTTAAATGTTAGTTGCAGCTCTTTGAAATAATCTGCACAAGATAAAGCTGTTATATACAATGTTTGGGCCCTGTATGTCCCTAAGCCTGGGTGCCGGGATATGACATAGATAAAGAGCATGTGGAAGACAGTGGTACCCCCCAATATCCCTGTCAATAGCTGTCTGAAATCCACATTTAAATGTTTCATTTATTTGTCTTTTTCTTTTTTTTTTTAAATCAATTAATTTATTTTTGTTACAGATGTTTCTCCTTTTTCCCCTACTGATTCCCCCCTCTCCCGCCCTCCCCGCCCTGTCCCCAGCTTTGTTGTCCATGTCCATCATTCATGCACACATGCATATAAGTTCTATGGTTTATCTCCCCCTCCCCAACCCTCTCTTCTGGGGATTGTCAGTCTGTACCTCACTTCAACGTCTCTGGGACTACCCCACTCCTCAGACTGTTATGTTCATTATATTTTACAAGTAAGTGAGATCATATGATACTTGTCTTTCTCTGTTTGGCTTGTTTCACTTAGGATAATACTTTCCAGGACCCTCCATGTTGTCTCAAAGGATAAGAAATCTTTCTTTCTTACAGCTGCATAGTACTCCATTGTGTATATATACCACTGCTTTTTTATCCATTCGTCTACTGATGGACATTTGGGCTGTTTCCAGATCTTAGCTATTGTAAATAGTGCTGCTACAAACATGGGGGTACACATATTCTTTCTGATTGGTGTTTCAGGCTTCTTAGGGTATATTCCTAGAAGTGAAACCACGGGGTCAAATGGCAGTTCCATTTTTAATTTTTTGAGGTAACACCATATTGTTTTCCATAGTGGCTGCACTAGTCTGCATTCCCACCAGCAGTGTACTAGAGTCCCCTTTTCTCCACATCCTCGCCAACACTTGTTGTTTGAGGATTTGTTGATGGTGGCCATTCTGACAGGTGTGAGGTGATACCTCATTGTTGTTTTAATTTGCATCTCTCTGATGATTAGTGATGTTGAGCATTTCTTCATATGTCTCTTGGCCATTTGTATGTCCTGTATGGAGAGGTGTCTATTTAGTTCCTCTGCCCATTTTTTAATTGGGCTCTTTGTCTTCATTTTGTTGAGTTGTATGAGCACTCTATATATATTGGAAATTAACCCCTTATCTGATGTATCATGGCAATTAAGCTCTCCCATACAG